CTTTACCTAGATGCTGAATTTACAGTCTTGCTCGTGGTTTGTGGCGAGTGTCCTAAAAGAGACAAAACGCACCGCTTTGGTGAAACGATTCTAAGGCCATCTCCAATGCTAAATGGGCTAAATCCAAATTTTCACCCTTCAAAATACAACTATTCATGTATTGGCCGGACTCAAACAGTTTTTTCCCCTAATCCTCCAAACTCAAATTTTGAGTCCGTACCCTTATTAAATTGTTTAAAAATAGTTTAACTCTAATGGGTCCACAAAACTGACTTTGCACATAGGGGCAGTGGTTGTGTGAGTGGGCTCCACCAAATTTCAGTCCATGCAAAATGTGGACTGCTATCCCACTCAAGATATTGACTGGATTGATATTTTGCCTGGCCCTATACATGCGTTGGGCGCTCCATCGAGGCTATATTGCCAAATTTTAACATTTGGCCCTCTCCATTGGAGATAGCCTAATTCCTTATGTGGATTACATATTAAAATTCGTAATCAAATACCTCAAAATTAGGAATGGAATCAACTAGGGGAGTAGTTGATCCAATTACAATTCCTTAATTACATTACCTAAGTTCCTTGATTTATGGCTTCGCCTATTATTAATAAGTAAACATTTTAGTTGGTTCAGAAATTCTTTGTGCATGATGTCTGGTCTTATTAAAGATTGGATTGTTTATCGATGTTGATGAAAATATATTGATAACATATCAGTACGTTTTGTTAGCAACAATAATATTGACAAATATACTCACTGAAAAATATGGTGCATACATTTCAGTTATTTCTTACCATTTTATCATCATGATATTATTTAACATTGTAATTAATTAAGAGTAATTTTAGGGTTTTTCAATGTTTCACCATTTGGAGGAAGTACCAAATTTGATTAAAAACAATATTTTAAAAATGGAGAACAAATTTAGTATAGTGCTTTTGGATGGGGGAAATAAACTTAGGATTTGGATAAAAGTTAAAATTTCTAAATTGACATATAACAATTCCCGTGTTTGGATTAAAAAAAACATAGAAATTTAGAAATTCCATGTGGAAAAAAACATGGAATTTGGAGGTTATGAATCTCAACTTTAAATTCTAAATAAATAGTTGTCATTTCTAAAATTCCAAGAGTGTGGAAGTTTTAAAATGTTAAATTCCATGTTTAAATCCATTAGCCAAACAATAAACTTTGAAAATTCTAGAACATTAATTGTCATCATTTTAAATTCCAGCGTTTATGAATTCCTTAGAGCGTCTCCAAGGGAGATGTCAAATATCACACATTAAATTTGAATTTGATGGCTTATGTGGCAATTTGACATATAATAGAGTTTTGAATTCCTCACAACATATCAAAATAAAGTTTATTTTGTTACACACATAGTGTTTATTGGTTTATTACTTTCTAGGCACATTAATTGAAAATAAATAATGAAATAACATCACAAAGTCAAACAGCCAAAAATAACAAATGAAATAACATCACAAAGTCAAACAGCCAAAAATAACAGGAGAGAGAATTATTCCACGTAGGATTTAACATTTCGATTTGAGTGAGTTTCAATTATTTTTTTCTACATACTTTCACGTTGGATTTAACGTCTCCCCATCTTCCTTGGAGACGTTCTTAGTAGTTTTAAATTGAGTGCTGCTATTTCTACCCCCATGTCATATTTCCCCACCTACCTTGTCTTCAAAATTTTAAAGACAAATTTACCCCTTTGTAAAATGAGTTCTAAGAACTTACTTCCCCAATCTACATATGGTTCACTCTTGCTCAATGCATTCAAGCAAAGCTTATACAGAGAAAAGAGAGATCCGTCTCTAGCGTCTCACACCAAAGATATATTGGAATCACTCCAATAGAAATTTGAAGTTCAGGCTTCCCATCCGACTTTGGTTTACACCAAATGTGTTTAAGAATAATCACTCCCAGTCACCCATCCTTCACACATGACCACGAAATCACAAGAACTTTCATTATTAACGACTTTTATAGTAAAATTAATATTAAAAGAGGTGAAGACACAATTTAAAGAAGGCTTCCGTATTCCTACTTGTCTCCTCAATGGGGTATCCTATTAAAGAAGAATTTGGAAATGGTTGATCATAAGTTCATTGCCCGGTGACCTTGGGTCTATAGTTGAATTTGTGCAGGGAGATAGGCATTAGCCATGGGTAATTCCAAGGGATTGCTTTTCTCTTCTTAGCCAAACGCATGAATTGTTAGAGCATCTCCAGCGCAGCAACATAACCGGGCAAAAGGCCTCCCTCGCAAGCCCAAGGCAGCTCCAGCGCTGCAGCCTGCAGCCCGGTTTGGCGTGGGTCCCACCAGTCCGGGCAAGCCCAAGAGCAGGTTTCGCCTGGGCTTCAACCCGAGGGCTGTGACGTCAGCGAGCAAAAAAATATTTAAAAAATCCAAAAAAATTTCAATTTTTTTTTTAAATACCAAAAAATTATAGATGCTTTCCCTATAAATACATAACAATTTTATTCACTTTCTAAATTGTTTATATTTTGTTGCATAATCTTTTTTTCCTTTCTTGCCCTTGCCCTAACCTTTTGGGATGGTTTCTTTCCCTAGACTTAGCCCTCATGGGTGGAACCACAAATGGCAAGGCTGACACTATTCACATGAATAGTGGCAGCCCTTGCTTGCCCTTGCCCTTATGGGTGGACATGCTCTTATGGACGGGTAAGAAGCCCAAAGTTATGCAAGGCTGCATGATCATGGTTGTGTCATGGGTGGTATCGACGGAGAGAAACAGAAGGATTCTGAAGATTATGCAGGGGCATGCTTTGAAGAGTTATGAGGCAGAATTCATTTTTGGTATGCTCTATGGGCTTTTGTTTTCTCTAAATTGGGTATTTTAGGAATAATGGTGGGTGGAAAAATAAGATTGTGTTTTTTCAAATTTAAATGGTGGATATTTGAGATCCGCTCCGGTAATTGTAGCATCAATGTCATTGATATCAATTATCTCATGCTAATTTTCTATTCTCACTCGAAGTGGATTTGCTGTCCCCATTTTGTGTGTCCCTCAGTTTCCCTTCTCTGTATTGTTGACAACTGTCTTTTGATTTAATACATTATTTATTCAAATTTCATCATTCCAATTTTACCCTTCTCATTGGTTTTATTTTTTATAATAACCAAAATTGAATAAGTAAAACAATTACTGGTCTACCACCTCCAAATACATTTGTCGTGTTTCCAACTCATTTTACACCATGAAAGATCCCAAATCTCTCATTTACCCCTCACCTCACCTACAAGCGGCCGCCATGCCTATTGCTCAGCACACATGAATTTCATCTTGGGTGAAATAAAATAAGAGTTTTTCTATTTAAACCTCGCACTTCTCTTTGTTCACTCCATATTCTAAGTTCACCCCAACTTTTAATTCAAATTTTCATAATTTCTAAGAAAACCCCACTATCTTCCCAAACTACCCCTAAATACACACCTAGCAGAAAAAATACACAACCCACACCTTGCCCCTACCTTGCCCCTCACCACTCTAAGTTCACCTCAACCTCATATTACTTAAAGAGATAAAAACAATGTTGTCAAATGCGTAGTAGCATTATTTTATTATTTAGGGTTTGTAAAGAGAAGATGATAGTGTAGTAGGTTTCTTGGATTGAAAGAGACGAGTAATCTAGCAATAGGGTGTAGAGGAGTTTATGTTTTTCTAAAACTTAATATGAAGAGTGGTAGGGTGTGTGTATCTGTACAGGTTAAGAAGGGAGAAGAGGTTTAGGAAACGGTTGGTTTATTGTTTAGGACAATAGCTTAAACTTGGAATGGAAAACTTTTAAAAGAGTAACAAAGTAGTTTTATTTTATTGATTGAAGTAGGAAAGGTACAAGGCTTCGGATACTTGAGTTGGCTGATTACTTGAGTTAGACAGCTGTAGTTTTCAGCTTTTAGCTTACATTTTTGTCTAGGAAACAAGCCTAAATATAGGAGAACTAATTGACATAAGCTTAGTCGGTGAGTGTAGTACTTTGAATATTTTATATTAAAGCACACTTTGATCTCATATTTTTTTTGTATTCACCGACTTTGCTAAGTCGGTTTGCACATTCACTAAAATTCTATACTTTTCTATATTATTCAAGGTACAAGTATGCATTATTTTTTAACATTAAGTATTAAGTTGGATGACTTTTTTTTGTCTTTTTACACAATAATAAAACTTATAAGTTTAATTATTTAAGTATTGGAGTGAACAAAGAAAAGTGTGAGGTTTAAATAGAAAAACTCTAAAATAAACTATAAAAATAAAAAATAAAAAATAAAAAAACCAAAGAAGCCCAATTTGACCATTCAAAGTAGCATCCTTCTGATAAACCATGTCAACCCGCATTTGCTGTAGAAGTATATGTCGAAGTGGTGGCATGAAAGGAACTCACAACCAGAGAAAAGGGAGAGCAGAGAGATATGGCGGATCTGCCATGGGTGAGGATGAAAATGGCAGAATTGGGGATGGGCCCTTTTCTTTAATTATTTTTTTAATAATTGTTTTAAGATGAGAAGGGTAAAATCGAGATGATAAAATGTGAATAAATGATGTGTTAAATCATAGGACAGGTGCCAACACAAAAGAGAAGGGACACAAAGGGACACACAAAATGGGGACAGCAGATCCGCTCCCTACAATTACCAATTAGAAATAGAATTATGTGCTAGAAAAGGAGAAATTAGCATAACACCCCAAATGGAACTCCAAAATAAAAAGGTAAAAAGAATACGAAAAAAAACCACATTTCCTAACCAACAAGGTGCCTAAGGGGCATGGTGAAGCTATTCCATCCCTGCATCACCAGGTCATGGAAAGTATGATTCTTTGGTTAAACTATAAGTCTAGAATAAGCAAGCAAACCGTTGAACCATAGAATCTTACAAGAAAAAAAACTACAAAATTGGACCATTGGTTTACATTTTCAACACATCGCTCAAGTCATTTCGATAATATCATTGGAAGAAAAAAAAAACAAAAAAACAAAAAAACCTTTCTTGCCAGCTTGAAACAATGATTCAAATTTTGTTTGCACTTGTGGTGGCCCAAATGGCATTGATTCTGAGTCTTCTGTTCAGAACCCCTCTAAGGACGTTGGTGATCACAGGGTTAGATCGATCGAAGCAAGGACGGGGGCCATTGGTGGCAAAGAGCGTGGGAGGAACTGTCCTCGTCTTCTTTAGCTCTACCCTATATGGTGTGTTCAGTGTTCAGAAACGTTTAACAGAGGCAGGCTTTGTCAATCCAACTGATGAGGTTTTAATGGCACATCGACTCTTAGAAGCATCTCTTATAGGTAACTGCATTCATAATTTAGCCTTTTCTGCAAAGTTTATTGAAAGAAAAAATAAAATATATATTTAAGTTAACCTTGACAGGGTAGGTTGTAGGCTTACTGGTTTTGAGAGCTATAAGAATCTTATACTTTATGAGCTTTTTCTTTTTCAATCACGACGCAGGGTTTTCTTTATTCCTTGTACTGATTATAGACAGACTACACTATTATATCAAAGAACTCAATCTGCTCAGAAAATTCATTGAAGAAGTTAAGAATCTGAAAAAGGATTATGAGCAAAGGAAGAATGCTGATGCAGAAATGAAGAAAACAGAGATTAAGCAACCGAAACTCCAAAGCTGAAATCGGAAGAATAGGTTGGTGTGCATACATCATTTACATGGACTTGCAAAGTTTATATTATTTCATAGAAGAAAATAATGGGATCTCTTGTAAATAACATTAACACACATATGTATAAATACAAAGGTTAATTGGATGTGTTGGGTTTTTACTCGTTTTTCCTTGAATTTAAATCCATAAAAAGAATCTTCGTTCAAGTAAATACATATATAGTTCTTTTCTATTGAGGAATCCGTCAATTAATTTTAGGGAGTTTCACTAAAACACCCAAAATGAGGGCTGAAATTATAAAAAAACCCAACACCCAAAACACTTTATAAACACACCCAAAATCCATCATTACACACACTCAAAATCCATTTATAAACACACCCAAAAGATATACAATTGTTGATTTTGGGGTTGATTTTGGGTGTGTTTCTATGTTTAAACAGTGTTTGGGTTTTTTTATAAATACATGTCTAGGATTGAGTTTATTTATAAATTTGTATTAATTTTATTTGAGGGACACCCATTAGGGTCCCCTATGAAATTTTTTTCAACGATCCAAACCATCTATTTTTCACATTTTCATTCATAGATCATCCTTGCAAAAAATCATGCACATTGAAAATCATTAGGCATCTAATTAAGACCAACAACATTAATGAACACAGTGCTTCAAGAACGTACTTAAATTTCAATAATTTAATTGAGTGGCCAAATGATATCGGATTTAAGTGATTTTTTGTAGAGATGATCTTTGAATGAATATCTACAAAATAGACTTTTGGATTAGTGAAACACAATGCAGAGTGGGCCCTACAAAAGTGTCCCTCAAATAAGTTTTTTTGAGGGATCCCTCAATAGAAGCAAATAAGTTCTTTTGAGGGATCCCTCAATATAAGCTATTTAAAGAGTATAGCCGCGCTGCTATACTTTTTAAATATT